TGATGCTTATTCCCCTCAGCAGAGATGGGGCAGTTGGTTATCTGATGAAGGATTAAAGATGATGGTGTTTGACCCATCACTTTTTGACCAGGTGGCATAAAGGGAATAGAAAGCATGATGCCTCTGATGGGGATTTTCCCTCCCACCTCCCTATCATCAATAATCTCTACCCCCCCAGACCCCAGCATCTTCTGGTACTCTGCCCTAGATTTCGTCGGCATGGCACCAGTGAACCCACTCAGTGGCAGAACTAGGCTATATTTTCCCACTAATTTGAAAATAGTAATGCTGCTATTTTCATCGCCATCTGTTTGACTCCTTTGTTTTATTTTTCAGTTTCCTCCAAATGTCAATCAATGGTAGTCCTCATGTAGTGGAGATGTTACTCTGTAAAAATTGCAGGCTGCTCCCTGTTCAAATAATTTTATTAATAGGTACCACTTACTTAGTAGCATCTAGTGAATTTTTACAAGACTCTTATAAGGTTGGTTCTATTGTTATTCTCGTTTTTATAAGAAAACAAAAAACACCTAGTCTGAGTCCAATACATTTGACTGTTCATTGCTCAACAAAGAAGAGAAAACAAAAACAAAAGGCCTACCAGAGAGTTTAAGCTATTGCTCTTCACAGAATTGTATTTCCATTAATGTGGCTCCAGCCTTGAAACCTCAAGGGAAGCAAAAGAGAGAGATTACTGTCTAGATAGCAAAGCTATCCACTAAACAGAAGAGTGAAAACAGAAAAACAAAAGAAAAACTCACAACTGTGCCAACTCCCTAGGGCAACAACACTCCCTTCCCAGAATTTCACATCTCTGGTTTATCGAATAAAGGCCAGTTACCAACACCTTACATTCAAGCATTCTTGTATTTTCTTGATTAATTAAAACTCACCACCAAAAGGTACCCTAATAGTTTAGACATTGAATTAGTAATGTTGTCAGCATTTTTCTTGGCTGGGTAGATAAGTTTTCAGGGAAGAAGGAACTTAGACGTCTGGGTATTTAGCCAACAGACTAGAAAATAGGAAATTTCTAAAGATTGTAATATATCCAAATACTAAAAACAATAAGTTTAATTGAGAATCTGGTCTGGATATTACAAGATTACCAGATACTATAGTTTAAAATGACTGTTTGAGTAAGTCCTAAAAAATTATTTTTTACCTTAAAAGTTGTAAGTTTATAGCTTTCCACAATCTCTCCTGTATGACTTCTAGGGCAATGTTGCCCCAGTGCCATGATAATTTCTCAATATAAAAAAATCTCTCAATCACACGCCCTAATTGTGTCACAACCCACGACAGATACATGCCTCAGTGTCCATGTCTGATGTGACTGGCCATTCAAGGTTCTGAAGCCAGCTTCTACACTACATTATGCTCAGACCAACTGACTTCGTTTCAAGGATTTGGCAATCAGCTTTAAGCAAATGACTTCCAAATCTATTACTCATCCTGTTTCAAGAATTTTCATTCTATGGGTTGTGCGTCTAGCTCAGTGGTTAGGGTGTTTTTCTTGTATGTTTGAGAGCTAGTTTCAATCTCTGGCACCACATACATGAACTTTCATTCTTCCTATTCTCACATTTCTCCTTCTTGCTGATTATCCCCATGTGAATAAATTGCAGAACAGCAGACTCCTTGAATGTAAACTCAAACTCCGTATGTATAAAACAGAACCCTCTTTTTCTTATAAAGCTTCCCCCCACCACCTGTCATTAAATAGACTACTTACTTGTTTTACTATTTGTTTTGACACCTTGAATCAACTTCATGATTCTTTTTTCCTTAACCCTCAGTGGCTAGTGTATTATCCACTTCAGACACAGTTCTGGGGCTCTACCCAATTCCTATCCCCACTTCTACTTCATTGGTTCAGGCCTTCTCTCCCTTCTTCTCTGACAACATCCTAATACAATGGTGCCCTTGATACCACCTTCCTGTGGCTCTTCCTTGTTTCCAGCTACCAGAATCAACTTCTCCAAGTTCAGTTTCAGTTGTATGATTGCCATTCTCAAAATCTGTATTGATTCCTCATTGCTTACACAATGAAGTCTAGATTCCTTAGCATGGTATTCATAGCCAGGGCTCAGTCTGTTTATCCTTCCATAAAGGCAACCCTAAGAGATTCCCAATCTCTTTGTCATTGAATTCAAAGCACCTAAAAATTCCTGAATAAGTCCCTCGACCTTCCAAAGTTCTTTTCTGTTGGTTCTCACTCAGAAATTGAGGGATAGTGAGACTTTTTCTGCAGTGTCCTGCTATTCAGTGCACCTTGCCACTTACCTAGAATAGACTCATGCACTTCATTTCACCCCCTCTATTTCTACCCATTCAAATATGATCTTTCTGGGAGAAGAGGTGGTAGAGATAGAGCCCAGGATCTCATACATGTGAATCGTGCATTTCACCTCTGAGATTCTTCCCTGGCTAATCTAATTCTAACCTTTTTCATTGCAGCTCAAATATGCTGTCCTCCCTCTGATCCACTCATTTGGAACAAACTTTGTGTATATATATATATATATATATATATATATATATATATATATATATTGCTTTGTGGGTCATACCCGGCGATGCACAGGGGTTATTTCTGGTTCTGCACTCAGGAATGACTCCTGGAGGTGCTCAGGGGACCATATGGGATGCTGGGAATCAAACCTGGTTTGTCCGCATGCAAGGCAAAATCCCTACCCGCTGTGCTATTGCTCCAGCCCTTCTAATACAAATTTCTTTATACCTCACTATGTTCTTTGTTAATACATAGTCCTCTATCTGGTTTTACTACTTTTCCACTGTATGATACATTTCTGAAAGACAGGAATTATCTTTTTTCAGTCTACAATGCCATTTTGTGGAATATGTTATACAGTGCATATTGCAATTAACACATTGATTCACCAAGAATGGGATTAAAATTTAACAGGTCACTGTCACCTGTTAGATTTTAACAGTCCTGTCACTGTCCTCCCGTTGTTCCTCGATTTTCTCGAGTGGGCCCAGTAACGTTTCCATTGTGAGACTTTGTTGTTATTGTGTTTGGCATATCGAATATGTCATGGGTAGCTTGCCAGGTTTTGCCACGCAGGTGAGATACTCTCGGTAGCTTGCCGGGCTATCCAAGAGGGGCAGAGGAATCGAACCCAGCTCAGCCAGGCCAACTGCATGCAAGGCAAACACCCTACCCGCTGTGCTATCGCTCCAGCCCAAAATTTAACAGGTACCATATTGAAAAAAAAAATGCCTCATGTGCTCACTTCAGTAGCACATATACCAAAAATCCATATATAGTTGACTGAATGAACACATTAATCAGTAAAAAAATTGATCTTATAGTGAAGACACTTCTAAATCACTATCATTAACACAGAGATTCTAAATCTGTGAGCTATACACCATTGGTAAAGTAAATTGTTTCCTGCTTTATAGAAACAACAAATAGACAGCCATGGAAAGTTATTTGAATGTCTACCTAGCTATGTATGGCAAATAAAGATGATCAAGTGAAATAGAAGACCCAGTGGCCAAAATGAAAATAGCTACTTTTGCCATTGATTTTTTTGTTGCAGATGGAAAATCTTTATTTGGTTTATTTTTCATGAAAAAAAGATGATGATGTGGAGGTAAATTCTCATGGCTAGCAACCATAACTACATAAGTAACAAACTTGGTCAGTGGGGCAGAATTCCTCACAAACTTGCGCATATATTGATCCTCTCAGATTGATCTGCCAAACTGATTTTTCTTTTATTGATGTTGTTGGGGCTGAAGCGATAGCACAGCTGGTAGGGCGTTTGACTTGCACTTGATGGACCGGGCCGGCCAGGGTTCAATTCCTCTGCCCCTCTCAGAGAGCCCGGCAAGCTACCGACAGTATCTCACTTAGACGGCAAAGCCTGGCAAGCTCCCTGTGGTGTATTCGATATGCCAAACACAGTAACAAGAAATCTCACAATGGAGACGTTACTGGGTCCGCTCCAGCAAATCGATGAACAACGGGAGGATAGTGCTACAGTGTACAGTGATGTTGTTGAAAGTGAATAAACAACTGGCTTAAGGTCAGAGAACACTTAATATATGTTTATGAACATATATAAACATTTCCACAATATCATGGAATAAATAATGCTTTCTAGGCAAGGCGATTTCTATGGTTTCATAGGAACATATGTTGCTTTCATCAGGTAATTAGATATCTGAAAGTGGCACCTGTATTACTACTTTGAAACTGTTCATTGAGGTTATCAAATCTGACAGACAATTGCAGGGGGATGATTTTTAACTACCCTTTGCCCCAGGACTATATACTCTAATGCAATAATAATAAAAAAAAAAAGTTGAGCGTTTGTCAGGTGTTTCCTTCCTAAAGACTGACAATGACTTCTGGGGGGGAGACAAAGCGAGAGTCTGAGGGGTGGTAGGCTTGGCAAGGAGCTTCTTGCCAGGCCCAGGCGAGCTTCTTGCCCACCCGGGGCTTTCAAGGAGGGTGGCGGGGGGCTTGTTTGAAAGCTCCCCGCTGTCATTCTGTTTCCTACGGGCTCTCTATTGAAAAGGAGGATTGGCCGTAAGTCTCTTTCCACTCCTCTGCTAGGTCCAGCCCAAGTCCTGAGAGCAGACAGCGGCGGCCAAAGCAAATACTTCGGAGCCCACACTTGAGCCCAGGCGCGTCCCGGGCGCGGGGTTGTAGGATTGTAGGCGCGGCCGGTCCCGCAGGGGCTGGGGAGGGGGCGGGACGCGGCAGGGAGAACACGCCCCCGCGGGCCTGCGATTGGCCCTGCCCCCGCCCCGCGGCCCTTGCCGCGTCCCGATTGGACGGCGGGGGAAGGACCTGTCAAAGAGGCGGTGTCCGGAGGCGCGCGCTAGGTGCGCGCTGCCCGAGCGGCGAGGGGCGGACTCCGCCGGGGCCGTGCGCTCCGGTTCCTCCACCTGGTCTGGGCGGGCTGGGAAGATGCCCTGGTGACCCGAGGCGCCGAGAAGCTCCAGGGCGCCCCCGCCCCCTCCCGGCTGAGAAAATGACGAGAGTTCCTCAGGGGTTTGATTTCAGCTTCTTAAATGACCACGAAGCCTGGACGATCCTGCAGGTGCTGGAGAGGAACGAGGAACTGCAGCGGGCGGAGAAGGACCGGATCAGGTAGGGCCCGGGGCCTGCGCCGCGCCGCCGGCCCCCGCGTCCTCCCCTCCCCGGGCGCCTGCCGCCCCCCGCGACCCCTTCGCCTGGACCTGCGGACTGTGTTTCCCCGAGAAGCACGCCAGTTCTCGGAGGTTCTTGGGGCGCCTGGCTGGTGCGCTTCCCCCCCGCAGCATCGCGCACCCCAACCCGTGCGGGGGGCGCGCCTGGCCCGCAGGTGCCTCTCCCGGGGGTCACGCGGGCCGCCGAGACTCGAGAGGTGTGAGTGTGTGTGTGTGTGTGTGTGTGTGTGTGTGTGTGTGTATGCTGAATAGTGTGCGTGTATGTGTGAGTGTATGCGCCGGTGTGAGTATGTGTGTGTGACTGCGTGTAGTGTGAATGTGAGTGTTATGTGAGTTACGTGTAGTGTGCATGTGGATGGTTGTTGTGGCTGTGTGCTTGTCTGTGAGTGCATGTGACTGTGTGTGTGTGCGCTCTGTCATGTATGTCGTGTGAATGTGCCTGCATGAGTGTGCGAGTGCGTGTGATTCTGTGTGTGTGTATGTGTGTGTGTTTGTAAGGAGGTCTCTGGAATGGACCAGAGTCACTGGAGTGGGTCATAAGCCCTTGTTCACCCATGTGCTATCAGATGCCCACTGGCTGGTCCCCACTTCACCCCTCAAGAGCCAGTGACACTTCAGTGACACCCCAGAGAGCTGGCCCCTGCAGCCAAGTGGTTCCCCAAGACGAGAGCTGTAACCCCAGGAATTTGCCAGGTCCTGTGATCTGAAACAGCAGAGTGAGACTGGGACACACAGAGCAACTTAGCATGGGGGAGGCTCCTTGGTGGGCAGCGGTAGGGAAGAGTTACCTTCAAATTTTACCCTTGCTCTTACTGTGCACTGCTGTGGATGAGGGATTAGTTACCAGGAACTGATGGCAAGAGATTATTACCTGGGGTGTCAATTAACCAGTTTTTCTTCTGGAGACAGGAGGGATTAGATCTGGAATGAATTAAAGGGACCCGCCAATGTTGAGGTAGATGATCCAAGGCCTCCCAGCAGACTGTGGGAGAGAATTCTTGGAGATGTGAATTCTAGATTCCTACCTCTTTCCACATACCCTGCTGCCCCTCCGACTCTCCAAAGTCCTTCTAAAGTTCAGGGAAATGGTGGTTGGTCTTTGTAGAAGCTATTAGAACACACTGGACCCAAAGTTCTGTCTTTACGCTTCTTACCATGGGAGAAAGTTTGAAGATGTGTGTTTTATGCCATCACACTCTGCCTTTAGGAAAAAATGGGCTCTGGTTTTCCCTCAAGCAGCGTGAAAGTGTGGCTTCCTGAAAACATAGTGTTCATGCTCCCACACCCCCACATGCATGTACCCACACATACACACATGCTATACACAGGCACACCCAACCTTGGCAAGGAGCTCTTGAGTGTTGCATGGGATGTGGCTTCATCATATATTCCAAAGGGACTAAGCAACTATAGTTTCTCTCTCTGAGGTTATTGGCAGTGTTTGTTGTCTCTCGGGTGGATGAAGCTTATGTGTGCCTTATGTATTGGGGGGAAATGAAGGACATATTAAAAAGTGAGGAGAGGGGCTGGAGCAATAGTACAGTGGGTAGGGCATTTGCCTTGCATGCGGCCGGCCCGGGTTCGATCCCCAGCATCCCACATGGTCCCCCAAGCACTGCCAGGAGTAATTCCTGAATGTGGAGCCAGGAGAAATTCCTAAGCATTGCTGTGTGTGACCCAAAAAGCAAAATAAATAAATAAATAAATAAATAAGAATAAAAAGTGAAAAAAAAATAACAGGAGGAAGTTTCCACTTAAGGTAGATCAACTTCAGACTATATATAGTTCATGAACTATATGTAGTCTGAAAAATACTAATAGAATTTTTTGTTTGTTTTGTGCAAGAAAATTTGACATTTTTATTTAACCGGATGCTAGTGTGTGTGTGTGTGTGTGTGTGTGTGTGTTACAGCAATTTATAATTCCCACTGCTACTGACTTTACAAGGAACAGTTCTAGACATAAAGGGCAAAGGCCACTGGGTGAGGCCTTTGAAAGAAAGCTTAAACACATTTTCTGATTTTTATGGTGTTCATATTCTAAAGGAATCAATGACAGAAAAAAAACCCACAATGATAAAATATAAACAATATATAACTTTCCAGCAACTAAAAATTGATATTCAAACATGAAAGCATCACAATTAGAAAATAAAAATAAATAGACACTTAGGCCAAATACTCACGACAATTATTTCTACTATTTTCCTTCTCTTGATCAATTCTTGGACCTCACAATCAAATACTCTTCACTGGGTCGTACATTGCATAGATTATTCTGTTCTCTGAACCCCTGCATGGCTTTACTAGCAAATATGGGCTTGCAGAAAGGCCTGCGGTAGCATGTCAACTTGGCTGTATTTTCTGCTGATTTCCTTGATCATTCCTGTGATCATATTTTCCAGATCATAATATTTTCCAAATATACAATCAGGACACATGACACATTTCAGAGCATAATTTGGGAGATAGTACTGTCAGCTTGTTTGAGAAACTCCTGGAGTTCCTTTTTTGCTAGGTTGAGACATGGTTTCAAAATCTCTTGGCCAGGATAGTAAAGGATGTAATGGGGGAGTTTGGAAAGTTAGCTGGGTGGGAGACAACTAGTAAGTTCAGGTGTATCTATGACAGACTGGAGGTGTCCACACAATAACTAAGAAGAAATTTCCTAGAGTTAGAGATGGAGAAGTGTAATGCCATACAGACCAAGATCTGTCCCGAGATGGACATGAAAAGTCCCAGAGTAACTGAGTTCATCAGGAAGGAGGCAATAGCCCCGCCCACAGGAAGGCTTCTGAACATCGAACTTTCCCCTGATCTTCCATCTCTGGCTCAAGCTTATTGGAAAATATTTGCATTAGATAAAATAATTCTTGTAATATATAAAGTACCTATTCAAATTTTTAAGAAAAACAACAAGATTCAAATTGATATATAGGGTAAAGATAGAAATATCACACTAAAAGATAGAAATTCACACTAGCAGATATACTAACAATAACTAAATCATGTGGAAAAAGTGTTCAGTTTTGAAGTCTGTCCAAAACAAACACTGTCCTCCCTTTGTTCATCGATTTGCTCGAGCGGGCCCAGTAACATCTCCATTTTGAGACTTGTTGTTACTGTGTTTGGCATATCGAATACGTCACGGGGAGCTTGCCAGGCTCTGCCGTGCGAGCGAGACACTCTTGGTAGCTTGCTGGGCTCTTCGAAAGGGGCAGATTGAAGTAATTTTAAAATATGCAAGTAACCTTAATATACCATGTTGCATTAAAATTTTTGAAAGAAGTTTTAAACGATAAAAAGCAAATCTAGTGAGAGGGTGAAATGAATAGAGTTGAAATATTTGGGGGCATTGTAAATGGAATGCGATCCTATTGATGAGCACTATGGCAATAAATACATGGTTTAATCTTGACCTGATCACTTATCCAGTTCTAGGAGACTTGTCAATTTTAGGAGGAGGAGGAGGAGGAGAAATGGGCACTCCAGCATTTATTAAGTTCTATCATTTTCTATAACTTGTATTCGTACCCCAATAACTTCTTATTGTTGGTATTTAGGCCACACTGGCAGTGCATAGGGCTTTCTTATGGCTCTGTACTCAGGGATCACTCCTCATGAGGCTCGGGGGAACTTAATGGGATTCCGGGGATCAAACCTGGTGGCCATATGCAAGGCAAACACCCTACCTGCTGTACTACCACTCCTGTAACTTCTTAAGGTACATACTTTCATATCCATTTCACAAAGCAGGAAAAGACTTACAGAAATTGAGTATCTTGTCCAAGTTAATCAGCAGAATTAACCAGATTTGAGCCAAAATTCAAGTCCAGCTCTATCTCAAGATTATTTTACCCATCTGCATTAACAAATCCTTATAACCATCTTTGTGGTGAATGTTATCCATGGCTTTGTATGGAAATGAATTGTCAAGGACAAGGAACTTATTCAAGAGCACACAACTTACAAGAGACAGAGCTAGACTTTGCACCCAATCTAATATCACTCCCAAAATTATTTTCTTCCTACTATTCCCTATTTCCTCTAAGAAAATAATTCAGTAGCGGAAAATCGAAACATGGGCCCTTGGGTTTCACTTAGATCACTCAGGCTTATCATGGACATAACTGTGAGGGGAAAAAGGCATGATCTATTTTTTTGAAAAGGAGAGAAAATTGTTTTATGTCAGTAGTATGGTTTTTCTTCGAGGGCACGTGTTTGTGGACACAGAAACTCGAAGAAAATGAGCACACATTTATGTTTTTCCTTTTGATGCAATTTCTAGGGCCTGAATTAGTGCACAGAACATGGTGAATATTCAGAAAGTGTTTGCAGCTGGACCTGGGCTTACCTGGATGGTTGAGAGGGCCTCTTGCCTGCCCTCAAGCCAGATGCTGCTGGGATGACATATCAGACTTGGGGGAAGGTCGCATGGCAGGCTGAGTAGTCCTGAGGGGCATGCGCACCCCTGAGTCTATGAGAAAGAAGGCTGAGGAAGGGAAGACATAGGATTCTAGACACAGTGAGAGGGGTACCATCAACTGGCAAGGTGCTGACATAGACCTCCAAGAAATACTTGATGTAAAATTAACAGCCTGCCTGGCTGGAGTCAGAGCCTCTGCAGACCTTCATCTTTTCCCACCTCTAACTCTCTATTTTATCTTCTTTCCATTCCCCTGGTAGCCTCTGCCCAGCTAGACAGGATACTGAATCCTTTAACCCTATAAAGCACAGCTATCTCTGACATTCATTCGTTTCTGTCGGGGAGTCTGTGTTACAGAATGAAAGCCAGTTAAAGAAGTAGAAGTTACAACTTAAAGTCCAAATTGACAATTCTACTTCATGTTGGATGGGGGGGGGGGGGGAGAAATGTTCTTAGACATTGTCACAGAAGGAGCCTTAATAAACATTTTTAGTTCTTGCACAAAGGGAAAGAAAA